GTCATTGATGTGTTGAGATTACTGAATGAAAAAATGTGGAGTTAAACAAAAAGTGCAAGATTAACATATCTATTAGGCTGATGACGCAATACATCTTCATTGGTTAAGATTGTTAGAATATAAGTTACAAAGGCTCAACCACCGCCTACTCCGAAAAGTCAATAGTCAGTCAGTCAGTCAGTCAACAACATAGAACTTCGTACGTACGTACGTACGTTCAGTTCAAGTTGCCATACCACATTAGCACAGAAATGCAACTTTCACTTCAAATCCCATAATAGAAGCGGTAGTAGAATTATTATTAGTAATCGGAAATTTTAGGGTTCGGCGATATTATTCGAGAAGTAGAATCTAGTGAAATAAACTTAAAAAGAAAAAGATAAAGGTGATGAGGAAATTCAAGATTAGGATTTAAGTGAACAAAAATAATGAATACACATTCACCATGTCATTCAGGGTCTCTAACCATCGATTACTATCATCTCGCATGTCCCAACCAGGTATTCGACACCTACTAACATGGCATTTACTGATATACATAATTAGGCTGAAATAAGACTCGAAATAACCAAACTAAAATATAAAAAATCGGTTTGTAAAGTTATTGACTATTGAACGGTGTAATATATCGACAGTTTCAGACTAACTGGTTCAGGTTCACGCTACTACCGTGACCAATGCTTAGAATAAGGATTACGTCTTGTGAAATCTATCAATTAACATATCAGTTACTGTTTCGAATTTCGAATATGTCAGCTTGTAAGGTACCGATTAAATATGAACACACAATATCATTCTCTCAACAATCATTTCTTATATCTCTATTCATTTAAAAATTCTAACTCGTAAACTTTACTATAATAATAATAATAATGATCGAAACAGATGTTTGTAAAAAAAAATAAGTTTATTGTTTAAAAATAAAACTTTTTTAACGGTTATTAATTTGTGTACTTACTTTTAAACCTTTCACTCGACGACCTTCAAAATCAAGTACACAACGTTCTACATTATTTGTACTTTTATTAGCATTATTCATTGCATTGTGCAATTGTAGTTCAACCTTAGAAAAAATAATAATTCGAAATAGTAATACTGTGGTGTGTGCTACTTATACGAACGATATAAGTAGTATAAGAAGGGACGTGAAAGAAGAACTCTCACGGTCACTAGAGGAAAACGGAAAGCAAATGGAGCAAAAGCAAGAAGGAAATGGAGTACCAACAGGAAGTAAAGGAAGCAACATCAGGAATGGAAGAAGGCTGGAGCGTTGGAAGTCAGGACTCAAAGATGGTGTGCAAATAGAGTGTTCAATGTAATGTTTTCGTTGTTAATTGACTAAGAGTGTAAATTCGCCTAATACAATCTATCGAACATGCCTTAGTCTTCTCAAAATGATTACATACAATACAAGCTAGGTATTGGTCTAAGACTGGGCACAGAGATTGTTGAATTGTAAGTTTTACATTAAAGAGTGAGTTTAGTTAGATAAAATTATTCAAGTGCACAAAACACTGGACAATTGTTTTGACCAGTATGATACTTTCTAACAATAATGTCAATTCAAGACATTATGTTAGGCATTAAACATAAATGCTTCATGGAGTTCGACTATGTTCAGCTTGCAATATAATGATAACCGATTCCAATCATAGTTCGGATGTTAAACACTTACAGTACAGTACCTGTACGTAGTGTATTCAATATTCAATGGGACAATTAGTTCATACTACTGAAAATATTCCTTAATAGGATGAAACAGTGATTCCTGGTTTTCAGTAGGTGTCGAAAATGAAAGTCGGTTTGTGATGTGAATCCTCAAATCTAGAGTGTGCTGTATGTTTTACCTAATAAACTATGTCTTGTTTTTACACCATAAATCAATAATGAACCCGAAAGTGACTTGATCAACTTACCAGCTTAGAAAACGTTTAATGTGTCGTAATATTGATGATAACAATTATTATCATTATAAGAAGTGATCGTTTTTAAGTGATATTTATTAAGAATGACATTTTCTATTAAATACTAGTTCTCATTTGTAAAATTTTACCCAAAAGTTTAGAGAAATCGCAAGACTATGCACAGTCACAACTATAAAATATCAAATTTGTTCATGATTAAATCGAATAGTTTATGGCGATGAGTTCATTTTGGAAAAATGGTGTAGTACTAGTTTTTTTTGTATGAAGCATCAACAATGTGTCATCGTGATTAGACTAACGCACACACCCAAAATCAAACAGAGGACCTTTAAAGTTTGACAGAAAGTACATTACATCTCGATAGCTATACTGATATCCTACTATCTTGATTCTCACTTTTAAGTATGCTTGGTGGTTTAAAAATACAAGAACAATCTGAGTCAGTGTAGAATGTATGTGGAAATAATCATCCTTTTTTAATGTTCAGTAACAGTTTACTGTCTAACATCTTCAAGAGTTTTTCCGTTCATTTTATGAGGTAAATACTGTAAATAAGAGTATAGTTTCAACTTGGCATCAAAGAGCACCGCAACATAGATTAAATAAGTAAAGTGAAAGTCAAGGTTCGAATGCAAGTTATTCTTTTATATTCAATGTCCACTTACTAAATGAACGAAATAATATAAGATTTTACATACATAATGGACCACCGGAAGGTAGATATGCTTCAAAGTCATGAATGCATATTCTATCATTCCAGTGTAACATGCTAAAGTTGAACTTGGAAATACCACTTAACAAAGGAAGAAAATATCGATATCAGTCCTTGTTTAACCTGAATTAAAGTCTATACTCAACTCCACCTGGTGCTCCTCTGGGGCTACTGCCGGTCCCAAGCCCGGATAAAGGAGAAGGATTAGGCATGGGGGTGGCAACCCCATCCTTTAGAAAACTGATTCGCTAAAAAAACGGTAATGTCCACACTTCAATAAATGAATATATCGACTTATTTAAATAAGCAGTAAGAAGCAATATCAAACATATAATTCAATCACAAACTTTCCGCAGCCATCATATGATACACATTTCATTTTTTTAAATCTAGGATAAGTCAGTGTCCATTTCCAAAAATGTCGAATTCACAATCCAAGTCATTGAGCTAGTCAATTTGTTTTTCTAGGTAAATTTAAATTTAATCTTGAAAGTCTAAGTGAATCATTCATGAAGAGTGATTTGAAATTTCCAACTTGGATCCCTATGAGATTATAGCGACTAGCTGTTTGAGAGTCTCAAACAAACGCTAAACAACCGTTCAATGCCTCCAGGTTCAAGGATGTATTAACGATCAGTTCTTGGTGAAGTTGTCTACAAAAGTGTCTTTTACATAATTTTAGATGTCTGGAAGATGTCAACAGGAATCCTTGTGTGACCTAATTATCACGATATCAGGAAAAAGTACCTGTAATTTTTAAGTAGACTGCTATTCCCAGGAGGAATCGACCTCTTGTTAACCAGCATCATAGTCTCAAACATCGCCATTGAACTATCCCAACCTCGACCACTGAAATGCTAATCGAATTCTACTGACCAAGAAGTTGCAATATGGTTTACTAGTTTAACTGACCTGATATCGTGTGAACTACACTGTGTGATATTAGGTAGTTGAAGGAAGTCTTACATAACAAATATTCATTCAAAATTTAGTCAGTGCTCTCTATAACGGATTATTTAGACATAAACAACGGATGAAATCACATCTTCTTCAATCATTAAGTCACTTACAACGTAGTACTTCGTACATACGTACATCAGTTCAGGTTGCCATACCACATTAGCAGAGAGACGCAAGTTTCAATTCAAATCACCTAGTGGTAGAAGTATTAGCAGTAATCGTAGAGATAAGGGTTCGAAAATATCATTAAAGAAGTAGAATCTAGGGAAATAAATTTAAAAAGAACATGATAAACGTGAGGAGGAACTCCAAAGGTTAGGATTTGAGAGAACACAAAGGTTGGTTGCACATGCGCCATTGCGAACGATTTTGAGCCATGTCATTCAAAGTCTTTAACCATCGCATATTATTGTCTCACGGACCCCAACCAGGGAGTCAACATCTACCAACATGACTCAGTTCACTTGCCAGTGACTTATGGATTTCTGTCATGTTTTGGTCTGGCCGTCCCTAGCTTTCTTCCAACCTACTCCTACACCACAAAACATAGCTCGTCGAGGCAGTCGGTGGTTAGGCATACATAACACATGTCCTAACCACCTCAACTGATGCAGTTTCAATACCGTCTTCTTCAGTACCTTCTCGTAATTCCGTCAATCATAAAAATTAACAAAATAAAATAAAATAACAAATCCATAAGATTAGCAAACACACAAAAGTAAAGGAAGGAAAATAAAATTAGTTGTGAATTTCAAACAACAACAACAACAAAAGAAGAAGAAATGGCTCGAAAAACTTAAAAAATGAACTATTTAAAATACACAACATACGATTGATTATATAGTGTGATTTAAGTCTTTTCGTGTGCTTTTAAATAAAAGAAATATATTATACATAGGAATTAAACTGATTGGTTAAAATGAAATAAAAAAATAGATGTATTCTTTAATAGTCTTGGATAAGGCGCATGTATGTGCGTGCATAATGAAAATAAACTCAATAAATCAAAACAATGTAGAGTGAAATTCAACGAAGAACAACAAATAAAAATATTAGCACAGGTTTCGAATGGTGAGCTGCCATTTATCGATCGATGATTTCAACAAAGCTCAACAAATTTATAATGACAATTATCATGTGTACACATGTGCCTAGGCTGCATGAAGGAATTTTCAAAGTTCTAAGGATAAGCCGTAACCATTGGAGTTCAATCGAAGATAGTGGATGAGGTCACACGATCTCAGTGAATTGATTGAAGTTAGACATGAATAATGTTGGATGCCGATTCAGCGGCTAAGAGGTTAGGCGTTAAATGTGCGAGACTGGAGGTATTGTGTTCGATTCCCGATTGCGGATGCACACTGCTGATAAGTCCCATATTAGGACGAAATATCTGTCCAATGTTTTCGGGTTTCTAACGGTGATCTGACAGTGATCGATTCATTATGTCAATGAAAATTTAAAAAAACTCTGTAACTAATAATGACTGCCGGAAGTGAAGAGATGAAGATTTTGAAGCAAAGTGAAAATGATAATTCAACTTTTCGTTAGGATAAATTTGTAGGCGAAATCAAAAAATGACTTATTTCAGCCCAAACATTTGAAAATTGTTACTAAACAGTAAGCACTCATGAATCCACATAGGATCAAATACAAAACTCTTTAAGATTTGAAGTAAACTTATCAACTGTAGACCAATGTGCTGAAATCCACTAAGCTACATGTTATAACTCTGAGTGGTCGCCAATGCTAGATCAGCGTTGCCCTTACTTAATGTTTGAAAGTTAAGATTTATTCTCTCTACAATACGACAACCCCAACGAAAAATATATTTATTTATCGATTAATTTGTATGCCCACTTGATCATCAATAAGGAGAAAGTTACATATATGAAATAATAACAAAATCATATAATGCGTGTCATGCTGAACCTAATTCAGGTCAATGCAATACAGAGAATATCCACATTACGGGGTTGTGAAGATTGTTAAGTTTTTTTTTGAAACCATGAATCGATCAATGTTAGACCACTAATAGAAACCTGGAAGCACTGGACGGCCGTTTCGTCCTGGTATGGGACTCCTCAGCAGTGCGCATCCACGACTCCTGCACCCCACAGGATTCGAACCCAGGACCCTCGGTATTGTAGGCGAATGCCTAACCAGTGGGAAGACGTGACCAGTGAAGTTCAACCTGTTCGGATGTAGACAGTAACCACTACCGAAGACTGTGTATGAGGTTGCGCAACTCCTTGAACTGATCAAGTTGGAGATTAACACCGTTAGATACCGGCAGGCACAGAGAATATCATTTGTAGAATAAACACCACACGGAAATAAGTAAACTCAAATGTTATACTGAATAGAATTTAACACTGAAAATGAAACAAATACGACAGTGAACACTTCTCACTCAGACTTATCGATGGAAAACATGTTGAATGTTAGACACAATGAGGACTGAAAAGTAATTTTGCCTCTTTTTTCAAACCAGTAAAATGTTTACACCTCTTCTTCAAACATCCATTTTCGACTTTCTTCTTCCACAATGCCTTCTAGTCTTCAAAACACTATGATTACGCTATACAGCCGGATATGACACTATTCACTTCAGCAGTAACTTCAGAGCGACACTCCACTGCATACTACTCATAAACCACGCTATGAGTAGTATACACCACAACAATACTTGCTAAATGGGACCCCATAATCTTGAGCTAAGTCATCGACCAGAGTATCGGTTATATTGTGTCTACTTTACTCAAGTCAATCCTCGATGTGAACTTTAGATTCATTTTATCAGGAAAAATCACTCTAAACAATAAATGCCACGGAATCGGTCCAAGAAAACTTGGATAGCACGTAGCATTGACTGGATATTGTAGTTGGCGTCCCGATGTTCATCATATAAATCTGATAATTTTTTTTTCATTTGTGAATAGTTTATGACCAATAATTAACTTAATTTAAAAGATTTCTTTTCATTTACCATACAGAATATATAATTTATCCTTGAATTGTATTTTTGTAAATCATAGCCTAGTTTATAATGAGCGCACTCTGTCAAAAATGTGTTCAATTTACAATTCAGTGCAAATGATATGCATATGTAAAAAAAACAGGTGAGATGTTCCCTTTTTGGTCAGTGCAATAGAGAGAAAAAAATATTAATCAATAAATAACAAGAAGGGGTGCAGTAAGAAAAAAAAAACATTATTCAATGAGGAAAGCAATTCAGACAGTTTCCATAATGACATAATCATAATCATCTTAGTAAGTCCTACCGGTTTGCCAGATGATGATTGTACAGTAATTGTAGCCTGCTAAAAATAGATGCTACAGTAAGTTATGTGTATTGGAAAAAAATAATCTATAAACAATAATACTAATAATAATAATCATGACTAGTTGAAGTTTCATTTAAAAGTTGGTTTAGTAAAAAATGAAAACAATCGCAGTACAGAGTAGTAGATATCCTCTCCAATAACAATTAAACTTGCAAAACACAAAAACCCTCATTACAGAGAAGAAAAACATTTGAAATCATCAATCAATCATTGTTAGACCACCATTAGAAACCTGGAAGCACTGGACAGCCACCAAGTCCTGGTATGAGACTCATCAGCAGTGCTCATTCACGACTCCAGCTACTCACAGGATTCGAACCCGGGACCTTCGGTATTGTGCGCGAACGCCTAACCATTGGACCACTGGGCCGGTATCTGACGGTGTTAGTGTCTAACTCTGATTTATCTAGGGATTTTGTGTGACCCCACCCAATTTGTCTTTGGTAGTTACTGCCTACACCCGACAGGGTTGAACTCCACTGGTCACGTCTTCTCAACTAGAACTGCGAGAAGTTCCTCACGAAGCTAGTCACTAGTGAACACATTTTACGATATTTGGTGTAAAAACACTAATCTCCATAAGTCTAATTGAAAACAAAACATTGTTGAATAATTTGAAATTTATCCCGCTGTAGAAATATTATTCTTGTGTAAACAATTCAAACCATCGGCATCGGTGTTTTTGTAGTGATTATGAAATAGTTTTAGTATCATCACAAAGATGGTTGGACAATGTCACGAAATCGGTTGATGTTGGGGTCATGTGGACTATTAGATCCCCCAACTCATTGGAATCGATGGTACTACGCCCAACACGATGCGACACCATGCTAATATAAGAAGTCACCTACTAGGAATGATAACCGTTGTGCAGTGCTTCCTGGTTTTCGACTGAAGTCGGTTTGTGATATATATTCCCAACTATTTTTGCGGATAATTACACTAATAAACATTCTCACTTTTGTGGTCATTCGCATTATGAACTACATTTTGATACTTTACTTCATAAAAAAAAATACATAACTGACTAATCAAACTTCTTCGAAAGTTTAACCTGTTATGACGCTTCCCCCCCCCCAACACCACACTTTATTTCCCTTCACTTCATAAACAAAAAATATTTAAATCAATAATCGAGTAAAACACAAACCTTCTTCGGGTTATTGAATTTTTACAAGGAAAGAAGTGTACAATAAAATGATTATTAAACATCATCATAGTTGACAAAACAAAATGGACGAAAACGCATGCATACACAAACACACACAGAATACACACACATTAATAACAACAATTAAGTATTCAGTGCTTTTTATATACTTAGACGTTTAGTTTTCCTGTGTACATCAAAAGATTGAATAATGAATGAATGAACCAACCTTTGGTTGTTTCTAAAATTATAATACATATTACACACACACAAAGAAAATAGAAATAGAAAAAAAAATTAACTTTTCAACTAGAATAAACTGATGATTATTCATTCATTGTTCAATTTCATTGATAATACTTGTGTATGCCTAAAAATATCATTTTTTAAAAAATAAAACGCACTTTGTTCATAGTTAAGAGAAGTAATTGAGAATGATGGTATGCAATGGTATATGCTGGCGAAACTTGATGACATCTATAACTAACTACACCATCGAGACGATAATGACTGATGGTTAGAGACTTCGAATGACATGGCTCAAAATCGTTTGCAATGGGTCAGAGGCATTCCATGCCTTGACTTCTATCTCAAATCCTAATCCTCTTGATTCTTCATCACCTTTATTTTGTTCTTTTCAAGTTTATTTCACTAGATTCGACTTCTTCAATAATATCTTCGAACCTTAATCTCTCCGATTACTGCTAATACTTCTCCTGTGGTGCGCGCTACTTATAAGTAGTATATGACGTGAGTGTAAACGTAATGTCTGGTAGCAGAAGACGGGGAAAGATCAAGAAAGGAAGAGTGGGAACACAATGGAATTTGTATGAAACGCATGAATAGTAAAATGTCAGACAATGGATTGAAGATTTTCAAATTAACTGTTTACGATATGGTATTCCTATTTTACTGAGTTACTCTGTAATTTTCGTTAAATACAATTCGGTTGCCCTCACCTGTGTTCTCCTTCACTACACTACTACCTCTACTGCTATGGGATTTGAATTGACAATCGCATCTCTGTGTTACTATGGTATGGAAACTTGAACTGATGTACGTACTTACGAAGTTCTACAATGTAACTGACCGGCTTAACCATTTAATTAAACATTGGCTTGAATAGCTTAACGGTAGCGTTTCAAATAGATCCAGATTCGAATCTGACATAAAAATATCAGTTTATCGAAAAGTGTTCGTACACTTCATTGTCCCAGACTCCACCTCGAGACTCACTGAGTTTACTGCTTCTGGTCTGAGGCCTGGATGATGAACGACAGTTGCACAGAGGGTTAAAAATTCGAGTCCATTAATACACAGAACCAGGAAGCAGAAAAAATCGCCAACCTGAGAAATCGATTACCATCCTCAATCAATAACAATGTAAAACTACGTACTCTGACTGGCCATGTTTCACAGCCATAAAGTAGGACGGAGCAAACTGCTGCACAGTAGACTCATCCTTTAGTCAGCAAACGGATATTTCCATTACCATCCAAGGATTACTTGTACATTTACCGCTTAACACCTAACAAATAACTAAGTAATCTTATAGAGGTCGATGATTAGCATTTTACTATAAACTATTATGAAAATAAACAGCGAATATTAGACAATTATACTTGACACCACTTTTTTTATTCATTCACAAGTAATGAGATCAACTATCTGACTATAAATATAAACACAAAACATAATAGTATACATATTGTGCATTAGATTGGAACTCTTCTACGGTTACTGCCGATCCCGAGTCCGGATAAGGGAGGAAGGCTGGGCGCAAAGTCAGAAGCTCCATCCCGTAGAAAAAACAAACTTGCTATAGAAATGCTAAGCAGAAAAAATCATCTTATTCATTGAAACTCTGTCCTGAAAATTGAAAGGTCTTCATTCAGAAGATTTAACATGACACCTTATGGTGAAAGCCGAATTTCCTCAAAAATCATGAGGTCGATGATTCTTCCGACAACCAGAGCAACAACTAATTTCAGTAGGTACATGGGATATAAAAGACTGAGAGAACATCATTCAAGTTGCTGAGCAAATGAAAAACTACAACCTGGATGTTACTTGAAATAAGGCTGGACCAGTGAATTGAATGAATAATATAATTGTGGATAATTTTAGAATCTCAATATAACTGAAAAGATAATGGCTAAATAAAAATTTTATTCTAGATTAGCACACAATACTAGATGGAAACTGATGTTACATGAAACGAATTGACTATATCAGTTAAAATCTTAATTACTATCTGTTAAAAGTTTGTTTACAAGTATTCTAATAGCTGAAATAATTTATAAATGTTTCATTTTGATGAAAATAAATCACTACTTCTAATACCATACTCATATCCTATGGTTGTTGTACACTTGTTAGGATATTCATCAAATAACCTAAAAGAATTATTTTTCTAAGTCTAATTCTATTGGTCAATTCCTACTGGTCAATATTAGGGTCGTTCTAGCAATCAATGTCACGTACTTCAAATGTTGTTTCCTATCGGCCCTAGCTGTATAAAAACGCATTATCTGTAACGTTTTGTGACCCGGATTCCTATTCCGGGATCATGATACTCCTCGGGACTCGGATGTTAATAGAATACAGGTTCTACTTCATATCAAGTCTTCTTCTTTTACTCAATGGGGACTTTGGACAATCGGATTAGAGTAGCCTGTCGTGTCGCCGGAACCTTGATCCTCTCCCTCGTTTCCCGACTTCCGTAAACTCATAATACTTCAAGCATATCAAATTGACATGTTGACGTTCTTTTTTATAGCTGAGTAGATAGATAAAGTGACACTCCTTTCGGCAACACACATTGATTGAACTACATAGAGGAAAAGTAACCAGATAAATAAATCCATGAGGAAATAATCCTTTATTTCATGTATAGTTAGTTATTCATATTTTACCATTCATTGTAAACGAACTTTCACGCATTTCTGCAAAAACCTATTACAAAAACTTATCATTCACACAATCAAATGAAGTCACGCACAAGGAAAAAAATAATAGCAATAGAAATAATGCGAAACTAGGCTTTGATCCAGGTAAATAAATTGACCTTCATAAAAAAAAATGTAGCTAATAGTATTTATTTGTTTTTTCCTGAAAAAAAGTCAATAACCGATAAGCAGTGAAGAGTAAAAATAAAACTTCGAAATAAACTATTATTAATAGAACGTTTGAATTAGGTTAGTACTGATATTGAAGATTGAATTTTGATCAGTTTTTTGTTTGTATGATATAAAATATAAAGAGCGTATTTTAAAATTACTAAACAGCTATCTAGATTTAGGAGTTCAGTCGGAATTCCACTGTGATACATCAACACAAGGGTTGATGGGATGGATTTTCATGTGATGAGTCTCAAGTAGGATGAGACACAGGTCCTGAATTCAAATGCTAACACCAACCATGTATAAAATACTTTTAATTTAGTGTCAAAATATAAACTGACCAATCCGCAGTTCTTGATGTCAACAATGGGAGAATTTAAATAATTTTGACAAATAAACAGGAAGTTTTAGTCCATACACTAAAAATTAATAGTTTCTAATTGCTTTCTCTGACTATTGTAATCCTGGTGACAAATAGCTGAACAAAAAATTTCTTTTAACGGCAAAATTTCAAACTATCTAACCCATTCAGCAGTAGGTCTCAACAAGCAAGATCCTTCGATACAACACTACATGCTCCAAGCAAATCACGCTTGACGAAGAAGCGTTGGAGGATGCAAAAACTTCGTATATATCTGAGCAGCTTCATTGATGATCAAGCTGAATCTGATGCACATGTGAAGGCGTGGATCAGCAGAACAATAGTAGCATTTCTACAATTGAAGAACATCTGGAATTTAAAACAACTATCGTCAAACACCTAAGTCGCGATTTTCAATTTGTATAGTATAGAGCAGAAACTCGAAGAACCACCAAAACCATCATCCAAAATATATGGGGGTTTATTAACAGTTGCCTACGCAAGACATTCCGGGTCCATTGATCACACACCATCCACAACAACCTACTATAAGAGCGGATTAACTAACTTTCATGTGGGGTGTGGTGCGAGTGAACATGTGATGTCTGGCAGCAGAAGATGAGGGAAAATCAAGAAAGAAGATTGGGAACACAATGGAATTTGTATGAAACGCATGAATAAGTGAAATGTCAGACAATGGATTGATGATGGATTGAAGATTTGCAAATTAACAGTTACGATATGGTTTTCCTATTTTACTGAGTAACTCTGTAATTCGCGATAAATTCAATTCGGTTGCCCTCACCTGTGTTCTCCTTCACTACAGGGGAAGAAATTATAAAAAAGTACTAAGAGTGGATAGGACATATATTATGATTTACGAGGCAAGCGCTAACTTGGAATCCCCAAGGTCAAAGGAAAAGAGGAAGACCAAAGAACACATTACGCTGAAGTAGGCATAAGAAGAATGAATTGCAGTGGGATAGAACTAGAAAGGAAGGCCCAGGACAGAGCTGTTTGGCGAATACATACTGGTACGCATCTTGTGCTCCATTTGGGGCAAAAGGCTATTTATTTATTATTCAAGGCTTTCTTTTTGGTTTTTAAGTTGATGCATGAATTCGCTAAAGCGCAAGTTGATGATCTAACAGTCGTCAAGCATATTTACATTCAGCAACATTTTATAAGGAGATTGAAAGAATCATTACAATGAAAAAGAAAAAAAACTGGGCAAAATGTCTCTCGTTTTTATCTTCAAATTCAAATTTTTACTATACTTACATCTCTAGCCGACCCCAATGTACTGGATTTTTCCAATTTTCGCATATTCATAATTTCTTTACGACGTGCAGCACTTTCAGTTTTTAAATTATTCTAATTTCAATTTAAAATTAACATAATGTACTACTACTACTACTACTACTACTTACTTTGATATGTTTAATCTCTTCACCATAAGCAGCTAATGGATTGACAACTTTAGCAACAATTCGATTAATCTAATTATTGAACAATGATTATTGAAGTATAAAAAAGAAAATTATGATTGTCATTTATAATAGTTTACCTCAGCATTTCGATAATCTTCCACTGTGACAAAATATTCGGATACTTTTCTTAAAGCATCTGATGTAGTTCGATTGATTTTCTCCTTATTCGCATAATCTAACAGAATACGTGCAATTTCATCACCTATGAATAGATAACATAAGAAGAAAGAGAGTAAGGCCAAGTTTAGGGAGGAATATTAAGGGAGAAGAGGAGAGGATAAGTGAGAGAGAGAGTATTGGGTTCGCCACTAAGTATGCTTGAGGCTATTACGAGTTCTTCACCTTAGTCGTCGATAAAACGCGAACGAGACAATGAACCAGCGTCCAGGTAGGCTACCTTGAATCCCAAGCTGTAAAACAGAAGTCTTGGTAAGCGTAGAAAGTATATTCCACAAACACCCAGCAATCACAGTAAGATCAAGCATACAAATCTCGTTTATTTATACATCATAGAAACGTCCTTGGGACAGTTAGGAAAATAGCACACTAACAACATACACAGCAGCCAATCACAACCATGGATTTTGCTGGTGGGAAATGAAATCTCAAGGTCAACTGATCAGCCCATGCTGGCAAACGTAGAATCCAAAGCTAAGGCATTTAACAAGCGAGTTCTGGGGATCTAACATCCCCAACAGAGAGAGAGAGAATTAGGCAGTTGTTCTTTCAATACTACTTACTTACTTACTTACCATTATTTCGTAATTTACATGTTCGTCTTGTATAACCAACAAGTTCAGAGCATAAATTACCGAAAAATTCTTCAATTTCATTGACGCGTTGATTTACAAATTTCGATTGATTTTCCCTAAATATGTGGAATAGTGAAAAGTTATTAGTGAATAATAATATTATAAAAAACAAACTATTCAAACTTACAATCCATTAGGCTTTAGAAGTGAAATTCAGTGATATGCTTTTTACCTCTATTTGGTAGTCATTAACCTGAAGCTCCCTTCCCTCGAAAAATAAAACAGGACATGGAATTTGTTATACTCATCACTTGATATGCTTGAAACTATTACGAATTTACCTTAGTCGATAAACGAGAATGAGACAATGACCCAGTGACACAGTAGGCTACTCTGATCCGTTTCCCTAAGTAACTGAAGGAAAAGTCTTGATATGATGTAGAAAGTGTATTCTATAAGCAACCCAAAAATATAATGATCTCAAGCACACAAATCGAGTTTATTTATACATGATATAAACGTCCTTGGGATAGTCACAAAAATAACGTACTACAATAACACGTCAACCAATCACAGTCAAGGATTTTTCTGGTGGGAAATGTGATCTCAAGGTCAACCGATCTACCCATTAATAAAATCAAAAATTAGGACCTTTATCAAGTGAGTTCTGGGGATCAAATGTCCCCAACAGAATTCCAGTGCTAGACAAATCATACCTTATATACTGAAACGTGTAGTATACCACCAAGGTAATTAATTCACTCAGGATTTATATATATATATATATATATATATATATATATATATATATATATATATATATATATGACAAGAGAAACTGATTAATTCCAATTCAGAGTATAAACAATGGAAGTTCTTAAACTCTTACTAATAAAACAGTCAATCAGTAAATGGCTGGCTACAAGTAACACAAAATTCTCCTTAAATAATCATCATCATTATTAACTTGACAATAAGAAGAATGAACAACATGAAAAGATGACATTGATAGCTGTTACACAACTACCTATAGGAAATCTATAACTTAAACAGAATGAATGAAGGAATGAAACAAGTTTTTAAAAAAAGGTTGTAAATAAAAACTGAATCTATCCGATACATCACATTTTAACATCCTGAAAAATTTACTGATTATCATTAAACTGTGTGTTTGAGTTAGGAAACATCTAAGTACCGATCAGTCTAACACACATTAATAAAGGATGACACTTTTCTGATAAACATATTATACGTTCAATGCTTACAAATGTTGAGGAAGGATTTGATTTTGACCAGTTTGGTCTCGTGTGCTGTTACGGGTATGAGGGCGGTTGTTACATCCCGGCTGCCCACACCGTGGAAGGTTGTTTCTTGAGGAACCTGAAAAGGAAGGTATATTAGCGTTGGTCTTAGAGACCTGGGTACTTGACCGCAGATTCTAAGGGACAACTGCTTGAGGCCAGTCACGTACGGCCTTTTTATGAAGGGTTTTTGAGTATTAGCTCCGCTCTTAAAAGCCCTTAGTGGGCACCCTTACCGCCGGAGATGGAAATACGTGAGGTAGGGTGAGGTGTGACATTTTTAGGGCCGACCTTTTCTAACACTTCCTTCCTTGTAAGAAGGCAGCATAGCCGCAGATGCTGGTTGTCCAAGTTAAACACCTTACTGCTGTCACACCTCTCTGCAGTCAGCAGTACGACTTCGCCCTCAGACCTTGAGTAGCTGCTTTTAGTCTCATCGTTCTCCAATCGACCTGCCTGGCATGGTAGAACCTTCAGGAACATATGTTCCAGCCAGTATAGCTCGGCTGGGTCATCACGATAGTCAACCCGACCACCACGTCAAGGTAGCAGCTACGTTCGGGCTTATAAATGTTGTACAAAAAATAACTCTGATGGGTCAGTGAAAATAATAAATAGACGTGGGTTATCCATGCATCAACTGACTTAGTTAATGACGCTTTTTAGATAGATGATTTACCATCTCTACCAAGTACTGAAGACCAGGAAGAAGCTATGAAATTTAGGACAGAAAATTAAACTTCATGCACTTAGTTCCCTTTATTACCATGAAGATAGAAAAACAGTGAATTAGGCAGCATAACGTAAGTTCATTTTATTTCGTCAGGTACTCATCAACTACTTACAACATAGAGTAGTTTAGAAACAAAAGTATGGTAAATTTTACATACTTATAATCATATAAGTGAGTATGTATCAGTAATTAGATGGAAGGCATATAAATATTGTCCTCAATAAATAAAATATGTGAGGGAATATCCTGAATCATTAGTTGTAGTAACAAGAGACCATACAGATAAAAATAATTAATTGAATAGACAATGAAGTAGTTGAGCATAATTTAATAGTAAATAAGAATAACATGAGTTGAGATTAGTCAGTTAAGACTAAAATCGTGAATTCGAAAGGAGTGATGCAATCAAAACAGGAGAGAACAAGCTGAGTCATACGATAAACTGACAATAAATTGGCCATGGGAAGAAACAATTTGCAACTGTTTCTGATACATAAATTTAGGTCGAGGCGTTTGAGGCTATGACTTCAGCGAATTTGAAAAGAATGAAATTTAACCGTCGATTGATGACGCGATTCTCTCTCTCGAAATACAAAATGTTGTTGTAGGATTGGAATGCGTCGAGATCTTAACTAGTGATAGGGAGTGAAGTAGCTGAACTCATCTTTGGAGTTACATCAGTCCTGACAGCTCGGAACGATATCCGTCTGCCGACCAAAGGACTAATATACTTCGCAACACTTCATTCCGTCTTACTTTGTGGCTGTAAAACATGGTCATTAAGAGTAAAGGACATTCGTAGGCTATTAATATTCGATCATAGGAGACTTCGAAGCATTGCTCGTACATCCTGGGACAACCGAGTAAGCAATGCTGTTGTAAAAAAACTGGTACTAGGTTAGGATGGAAAATCAATAGATGAAGTATTGGATGTTTATCCGTTGAGATGGCTGAGACGCATTACGTATGCCCAACCACCGTCTGCTCCAACGAGCGATGTTTTGCGATGTAGGGGTAGGCTGGAAGAAAGCTAGGGACGGCCAGACCAAATTATAGAACAAATCCAGGAAGTCAATGGCAACTGGACTGAGCCATCTGGAAGTAAATATTACCTCCATATAACAAAAAGGCAAGTGTATCTTTATACATTAAATGTACATCGTAAGATGAATACATATTACTAATACAAGCAATGAGAAATATTATCAATTATTCAACTTTTTTTATTTATTCCTAATTTATAACTGATTAGATTACGTAGACATTTGTATTTGATTCATGTAATTTGTAATTTTATGCATGGATGACTTGTTTGTTATAATGTCAGTTTAATTTACATGTTGTTATTACTATTATTATTTAGTAACAAAACTCTCTAGTTCTTTCCATGTGGAAAAAAAAATTTGCTGTTCTCATTCCTACAAAAAATATCATCGGTAAAGTTGAAAAATAAAATTATTTCAATCACTATTTACTTACTTACTTAAAAATTGTTCACAATATTTATCAGGATAACTATGGTGATGAATATTAAGGAGAGAAATAATAATAATATTTTTGGCGGAAATCAAAATAATCAACCTGATTAGCGTACAGTTTAACCAACACAAAAAAATTGATTTGATAACTCTGCATAAGTATACTGGTATTGAATTTTATGAATGTTATTTGTATTTAGAAAATCTGTTAGATGAGATAGAAGCTAGTCGACAGGAGGTCCTATTTGATCTAGGTTTCGTGGTGGTTAGCACTTGTCATCTAGGTGAACCTGTAATCGCATGAGAAATGATGTTTTATAGTGGGATTTGAACTTAAGTTACTCAGTTTCAATCTGAGACGTGATCGTTTAGATATTGAGACTACCGCTGATCTACGAAAAAGTGGATATGTTCACATTGATTGTTCACTGAGTGGTGAGTGACCCATGTCAAGATTGTCTAGTAATTTAGCCTTGATCTATGTTAACTAAACCATTGGCTGCAGTACAATTTGTTCAGTGGAATTCAGATAGCTCTGAAGACTAAACAAACATGATACTGGTCACTACTTAGTGATCAGTTGATAATAAACTTATCAAACTTTTAACATCCAAGTTCGAATTTTATTGATAAGTGAGTTAAGTAGAAAAATTCATAATCTCCAGCTCCGTACGTATCAGATGGCATATAATTGTCTATCTTCGTATATAATATTTTGTACATATGTATATCATTTCAGTGGGGAAAAAACTCATTCTCATGGAATGTAGGTTGTCTTTGGGTAGCTTAATTCAAAAATTCATTGTCATCAGTGAATGGTTATCAGAAGACCATATTGCATCATTGTACATCATATTTAACAATCAGAATCAATATGCTCGTCAATTAATATGCTTGAAAATATTACAAGTTCACCTTACTCGGTTAACGAGAGATTGAAGACAAATGATGCAGTGACACGATAGGTTATTCTAATCCGTTAGTCCCAGCCCCGGCTAACTATATCAAGAAGTCTTGATAAGTCGTAGAAAGTGTATTCTACAAGCACCCAAAAATGTGAGGCTGACAAGCACACAAATTGAGTTTATTTAAACAAGATCGAAACATCCTAAGGAGAGCCACAAAAATAGCATACTAAAACAATACATCAACCAATAACAGTCAAGGGTTTTCTGGGTGAGAAATGTAACCTCAAGGTCAACTGATCAGCCCATGCGCGAAAACACACCAAATCCAAAATTAGGACCTTTATCAAGTGAGTTCTGGGGATCTAACTTCCCCAACACCAATCCTACTCATTCATTTCAATGACCTGAAATGTGCTCAACACAACAGACCTAAAATCTTATTCTCCTGAAAATAAACTGTAAACATCATATACTTCCATTTAATTTAACAATTATTTGAGCTTAATCTTCATTGAAGACCGAACATCTATTAAAAACCAAAGGACATTGATGAGTTGTCCTGGTAATAATACGACAACATAAAACGATAGATGTATATGTTAAGCTCTACATTAGATATAACTGACTCTTGTACAGTATCGATCCATGTTGAACTGTTACTTCATGGTAAATCATTTCTACAGACCACCTGTTATTGTCCTCTAAAGAAAAAGCAAATTGAACTAAGGCAAGTGATGATACCGTAAATGACTGGGAATTCTATAATTTCATTAAATCTGTGTACCAGTTGTTGAGCTACGAAAATAATTAAATTTATTTTATAGAATTTTATAACATTGGCCTATCTCTGGAAAAATAAATGATGCTATTACCATATGGTTAACCTGTATGTAAAATATAGAATATATTGAACCAAACGGAATAATTTACAATAAATTTTTAAAATCCCAATTGCTAGGCTTGTTAAAATATTACGGCTTGTAAAGAATGTTCCCTCGTCAATTTCTGTCTTTTATAAAACAACTCCGCCGCCTATTTCTGACTACCGGTTCCTTCTTTTAAAGCATTTGTCTGGAGTTATACAAATATATACTTGGACAAAAGATACAAAACAAACTTGAATCACAGCTGTAACATTCGTAGAAACTTCCTACAGATATTAAAAGACGATAGTCTATCAGCATATGATCTTCTGTAACTAGTGAATCACAGATAACTTCAGTTCATGACTGCAATTCCCCTTCAGAATAGGGATATAGTGAATGAAGTGAACGGTAACTATTGTTAGCTTATCGAAAAACAAGAAACTAGGAATAGTTTTATATCTGTGTTCATTTCGGTTTTTCATGTTGTGAATTTAAATCACCTCAACACGAAAGAAACGAAGTCGCATATGCTGACACAACTAGTAATCTATCTTGAGGCTCTAGATATGATATTTGCT